TGGACTGGTTGTGAGTTGTTTTTTCTAAACTAAAACCTCAGTTATCAGGTTTGATTGCAGTGTTGGCACTTTGTGATAAATAAGTGGGTTTTGAATTGCAGTTTGGGCGCTTGGTCTCTAAAAGGTTCGCCATCGCTGAGGTAGTGCATCGTCTGTGGCTGGTTGGCTCAAGGCAATTCAGATTGAGGCAAACCAGAAAACTGGGTGTTCATGCGTGTGACGTGGAAGTTTGCCGTTCTAAGCCTGGGATTGTGCTTGTAAGATCCACTTCTTTGAAAATTACAAGTCCAAGATCTGCCAACTGGAGCTCTGCGAAACAGACACATCACATTAGAGCTGCAGTATTCTGAACTTGGAAATTCTGAGTACCAAAACTTCCAGAGAGAAATCTACATTGAGTTACCCAAAGCATTTCAGTGGACTACTTTAAGTGCCGGCAGTCATTTTTATTTATTTATTTAAAACATTTCTATGCTGCCCCCATCGCAACAAAGCCTTGGGGCGGCTCACAAAGAATACATAAAAACATACATAAATAATAATAATATAACAATTTAAAAGAAAAAAAACACAACATTTAAAAACCCCCGATGCATTCTCGACTAAAAATTTTAAAATCCTAATTAATACAATAATTTAGCAATTAAAATAAGTTTTAAATAAAAAGGTCTTAGCCTGGCGCCAAAAAACAAATAACGACGGCGCCAGGCGGACCTCTCTGGGGAGCGCATTCCATAGATGGGGCGCCACCGCAGAGAAAGCCCTCGTCCGGGTACTCACCCTCCTAATATCATTCACAGAGGGTTCCCGGAGAAGAGCATCCATTGCTGATCTCAAGGGGCGGGAGGGCATATATGGGCGCAAGTGTTCCTTTAGATATCCAGGTCCCAAGCCACTGAGGGCTTTATAGGTCATAACCAACACCTTGAATTGGGCCCGGACTTCAATTGGGAGCCAGTGGAGCTGATGCAGAACTGGGGTTATATGAGAACAACGCCCAGTCCCCATCAGCAACCTGGCAGCTCTATTCTGCACCAGTTGAAGTATCCGGACCGTCTTCAAGGGTAGCCCCACGTAGAGCGCGTTACAGAAATCTAATCGGGAAGTTACCAGCACGTGTGTCACTGTCGCCAGGCAGTCGTTCTCCAGGAAGGGACGCAGCTGATGTATCAGCCGAAGCTGAAGGAAGACGCTCCTCGCCACCGCCGTCACCTGAGCTTCTAGAGACAGCTCAGGGTCGAGGAGCACTCCTAAGGTGCAAACCCTGTCCCTCAGAGGGAGTGCAACCCCATTTAGGACAAGGCCCAAGTCCCCCATCCCGAGGCCCAAGCCATCCACCAACAGGACCTCCGTCTTGTCTGGATTGAGCTTCAGTTTATTGGCCCTCATCCAGCCCATTACCTTGGCCAGGCACTGGTTCAGCACAGCCACTGCCTCACCTGGATTGGTGGAAAACGAGAGGTAGAGCTGGGTATCATCAGCGTACTGATGATTCCGCAGCCCACACCCCATGATGACCTCTCCCAGCCGTTTCATGTAGATGTTATATAGCAAAGGGGACAAAATGGACCCCTGCGGAACTCCATGGCATAACTGCCATGGTGCAGAGCCATAGTCCCCCGTAGCACCACCTTCTGGAATCGGCCATTGAGATAGGAGCGGAACCACTGCAAAGCAGTGCCTCCAACCCAAATTCCCGCTAGCCTATCCAGAAGGATACCATGGTCGATGGTATCGAAAGCCGCTGAGAGGTCCAGGAGAACCAACAGGGACGCACTCCCCCTGTCGTACTCCCTGCACAGGTCATTGTACAGGGCGACCAAGGCAGATTCAGTACCATACCCGGGTCTGAAGCCAGACTGAAATGGGTCCAGATAATCAGTTTCATCCAAGAGTGCTTGGAGTTGTCCTGCCACCACCTGCTCCAACACCTTGCCCAGAAATGGGATGTTGACCACTGGTCTATAATTAGTGGCCATCTCTGGATCCAGTGACGCTTTCTTCAGGACCGGTCGGACTACCACCTCCTTTAAAGGGGCAGGTACCCGACCCTCCTTCAGAGAAGCGTTAACCACTTCCAAGATCCAGATCCCAATCCCGTGCTTGGCGTTGTTTATTAACCAAGATGGGCAAGGGTCCAATAGGCAAGTGGTGGGACATACTAGTCCAAGCACCTTATCCACATCATCAGGCTGCAATAACTGAAATTCATCCATTAATTTGGGACCAGACGGCGACATTGGTTTCTCCCCAGAAGCCTCTGAATCACTAGTAGAGTCTAGCTTGTGACTGAGCGATTTTCTCCCTGAAATGCTTGGCAAAGTCGTCACAGCGGGCCTTCGAGGGTGGCACAAGATCTTTCTTCGGGCCCATATGTATCAGCCCCTGCACCACCCAAAAGATCTCCACCGGACAGCATTGTGAGGAGGCAATGGAAACGGAGAAGAATTTCTTCTTCGCCATCCTCAACGCCACAGCATAGGCCTGATAATGGGCTCTTAAGTGTGTTCGGTCAGAATCACCCCGTGATCTCCTCCACCTATGCTCTAGACGTCTCCCAACCTGCTTCATCGCCCGTAATTCAGGTGTATACCAAGATGAACGGGCTCTGCCAGGTGGGAGAGGATGCTTGGGAGCGATCGTGTCAATAGCCCTGGTCATCTCCTCATTTCACAGTTCAACCAGGGCATCGACAGGATCACCAGCCTTGTCAACCGGAAAATCCCCCAGAGCTTCCAGGAATCCATCAGGATCCATCTGGCTCTGGGGGCGGACCAATACAATCGGGTCTGCACCCTTGCAGAGGGAAAGGCCACTCTCGAGCTCAAACCTTATGAGGAAGTGATCTGACCATGACAAGGCAGTCAAGCTTAAATTCCTCACCCTCAGATCACCCTCTTCCTGCCCCATGGAGAAAACCAGGTCCAGAGTGTGTCCACGTTCATGGGTCGGGCCAATGACGTGTTGAGACAGCCCCATGGCCGCCATGGAGGCCATGAAGTCCTGAGCTGCCCCAGTTAGAACTGTCTTGGCATGGAGATTGAAGACTCCCAGGATGTTGGTCCTGGGAGTCTTCAACACCAGGTCCGAGATGATCTCCGTCAGCTCAGGCAGGGAGTCTGTTGGGCAGAAGGGTGCATGGTACACCAACAGAATCCCCAATCTGTCTTGGTCGCCCAACACCAAGTGGAGGCACTCCAGCCCTGGCCTTGAGAGGACAGGAAGCCCCACAAGGGAAATAGAAGCTCAATAAACCAGAGCGACCCCGCTCCCCTCCCCTCCAGGCGTGGTCGGTGCTGGACCAGGTACCCGGGCAGGCACAGTTGTGAGAGGGAAACATCCCCCCCCCTCACCTGCCCAGGTCTCTGTGATGCACGCCAGGTCGGCCCTCTCATCCATGATCAAATCATGGATGAGTGTTGCCTTATTTTGGACTGACCTGGCATTAAGCAGCAGCACCAACAGGCCTGGGGGGGCAGTTGACAAGTCTACCTGGAACCCGCCGGCTGGGGAAATAACCCGAAAGGACAGGTGTTAACCATCTGTCCCTCCTTCTTCTATGCTGACCCGTTAGACCCCCAATGCCATAACACCCATTGCCCATCACCACCCCAATGGTGGCAGCCCCGCGCTCCCCAGGCAACATCATAATAAAGCACGAGATGCAAAAATTAAAAACAATCTAAAACCAACAATTAAAACGACTAAAACATCTTACTGTCCTCCACCTAGACCAGCACTAGCCCACACATAAATAAAACCAAACCACGGCCAGAGCCCCTGGCCAGCCCAGCCCCCCGCTCGGCCCCTCAAATGGCGACCGCCCTTAGGCCGACACCCTTCGGCCGTCGCCCTTCGGCCGCCGGCCACTGCCGGCGCTTTGTGGCCCGCAGGGCCCCTCCCCGTGCCCCACCCCTTCCCGGCACGTCTCACACGCACTGGGAGAAGCAGGCCAGAGCAGGGTCCTGGGCCGGTGGTCCTGGCCTCTGCAGCAGGGCAGCGGCAGCAGCGGGCAGCAGCGGGCGGCGGAGCAGCGGCGGGGTCTGGGCAGCGTGGGCTCCGGGCGGCGCGGATGGAGGTGGGCCTGTCCAGCGCGCTGGTTCCTTCCGGAACCATGTTTGGCTTCGCTAAATAGTGACTTGCTATAAATCTCCCAGGTTCCACCAGGGGATCCCCATCTACCTTCTGTCTACCCTTGTTCTAATTCATTTGAAATTGACAGCCCTGATTTAACATTTATAGTCCATCCTTTTTCCAAACAGTTCATGCATGATTATGCACTCCCACCCCCAGACCTATCTATTTTATGCTTGCACAAGTCTCTGTGAGGGCAACAAAAGTTGAGGGAGTGGGTCAAGGTCTCCCGGTGAGCTTCACGATTTAGTGGTGCACATTCACTCAGTCAAGAGCATACAAATGAGGACAATGAACACACTCTCTCTTTTTTTTGTACAATAAAAGTTTAATGACTTTTATAAAAATGTGCTATCTGGCACCAAGTAATGAATCCACAAATTATTAACATATTTACAAGTAGGAAGCCAATAAGATCAAACGAAAATATATTTATATATATCTATATATATATAATATTTATATAGACAGACAGAAGAGCGGGTATGCAAATTTAAAGACCCCCCCCCCATCCACCAGACAGTTGTGGACCGGAAAGGAGAACAAACGGATCCATCTGTCATGTGCGCACATTTCCATCCTCTGCAATAAACACAAAATTCCCAGCAAGCTGTTATGCTGCAAGAGATTAAAAAGCATACCCCTTCCTGGTATAGAGATTTTTTTTGTAATATCTATCATATTTTTACATATGTACATAGGAAAAAATGCACATAAAGAAATAGGTGGGTAATTCCAGAAACCTTCAGGTTAATAAGCTGCCAAAGTTGGAGTCAGCTCTGAAAGAGCAAAAGAATGTTGTGGTTTGGTTAGAGCATCTAGAATCATTTACACAGGGCTGAGGTTTTTTGTTTTTTCCTTTTAAACTGCTCATCTATTCTGTCAGACTGGGCTGAAGGACTTAACAGTTGCAGAAACTGCATAGATCTGCCTGGCTAACATGGTTTCCCTTCTTTCTAGTTTTGGCAAGGAATGGGGAGAAATGCTGCAGCAACCAAAGCTCTACAAATTAGGATGAAAAGGGAAGGAAAATGAAATGAAAAAAAAAATCCTGCATCTTATAAAGAATTACACATATATTTAAACACTGGGGAATGGAGGACTCTTGACAAAATGAACAGTTTGGTGCTACATGATAAATCCAAGTAAGCAGTTTGCCAGTTAGTAACTGATTTTCATTCACACCTGGAAAAGGCACATTAGTGTATGCCAGGAAACAGAACACATGAGCAGGACCAAGAATCTCTCCTGCACAATTTGGGAACATAGGAGGGCTTCATCTGCTTGAAAATAAGGACACAGCAACACTAATTCAATGAGGCAAAGCACAAAAAGAGCACATAGTTCTAATCCTTGTATTTCCTTAGTGATTCATACCAGCAAGCCTAAATCGAGGGGAGGTGTTTTCTAAAAGCAGCCCTTACTTCCTCTTAAATGTCAAGGAGTTTAGAGCAGTGTTTCTAGACATGTCAAGTCATACATGCTTTTAGCAGCAAAGATTTGCAACCAACAAAACCAGAAGCTTGATGTGTCATGCCAGAATGCTGAGACTTAGTCAGCTTTTCAAAAGCTGGCCACCTGACACAATTCAGAGAAATTACATAACTGAATTTCTTCTCTCTTCCCATGCAAATGCATTGTGCTTAAAGACAGGCTTGTTGGCAATTAATGTAGCAACGTTACATATCGGCAACCAGTTAAACTGAGAAAGGCTAGCTAAATGGCTTATTCTGTGTAAGTGGCCACTGAACTCAGTGAGATGTGGAAGGTTCTAGTTTCAGATGGTAACTATCTTAAAGGACTGGAGTCGCTGAAACAGGAACCCTTATGGAAACAAACATTTTGGCTGTTCGTTTTTCAAAGAAAGTCCTGAGGAATGTGCATACAACCACATCTCGCTGCCTGATTTCTTAACTGCCAGAAGCACGTTTGCTACTGAGTGAAGCTAACCTAAAATTAGGAAAAGGCTCAATTTGGAAAATAACAGGCAGCACAATGCAATGAGGCTGCCTGTAACCCTACAAATTCAAGAGGATTATGGACATCCCATCCCACCGCAGGTGGGAAGAGTGTGGAAGTGAAGGTCACCTCTGCACTTCTCCCACCTTAAAACACTTAGCTGGCCAATTGCCACCATTCATGTGTTCTGTCCTGGAATGCAAGGAAAGGATTCTGAGGTGCTGCCAAAATTTTGCTGGGAGTCCGTTTCCTCCCCCCACTCCCTACCCAGAAACCTCCATCCCCTGCAACCTTGGAGCAAATTTCTGAGATAAGAGCTGCAGCACCAAATACTTCAATGGCCATCTAAAACTGTCTGGAGGCCGTAAGACTGCAACTTAAAGTTTGAAAAAAATCCAAGACCCAAACCAGTAAGAAGAAATGCACATGCCCACAGACAGAAAAATTAAGAGTATGCATGCATTTCATTTTTTCCCCTTGTAGTTACACAACAGCATACAAACTAGTGTCACCTTGCCCTGCCTTTCCATTTTCCTTTCTCAAACGATCAGCCTTGCTAATTCACCATGTGGGTTGCTAAGAAAGGCTATCAAAACTTCCTCTTTCAAGAGTGGTAAAATGGAAAGAACCTGTAGAGTTCTGTGAAGACAAAGCCTGTTTGTGAGAGCCTGTTACAAATATTTCACTTCTGAAAAAAGTAATGCTAGATCTGGTTCCTATGCCCTGATCAAATTCTCACCATGACATGCCTTCAAAACACTAGAACAAGCTTAGGTTGGAACTATGTGCCAACTACATCAATCAACAGGTTCCTTATTCTGTTTACAAACTATCGGGGAGGTGAGGACAGGGCATTTGTAGGGGAGAAATGGTGGGGGAAGGGTGCTAGCCCTTCACTCAACATGCCTTCTTTCTGTAACCCCTTTACCTGGACTGGTTTAATCTCTACTCCCAGATCCCAGCTGGTGAAGGTAGAGGGGAGATGGGCACTGGATTGTGGAAAGGAAGCAGCAGGTGGGAGAAACATAAGTACATCCTCCTCCCAACTGCTTTTCTCCCATGTTGGCAAACTGTGTTTGCTGATGTTAATATGCAGCTCTGCCCCCTGGAACACAGCGCTTGCCTGGCCACTTCTCATATTCACACCAAATGCCAGAATGGTCAATAGAAGGCACCTTCTCACAGAGGATCCATTTCTCATTCTATCTGTCTAACTAACACCTGTTTACTCCTAACAGATGGAAATGAATTATCCATTTGAGTGGCTGGTCTGTCTGGGGAAAGGTTGAAACACAAATGAGCAGCAACAGCAGAAAAGCTTAGCTACTTAGCTGATCTTTCCCTGAAAGAACCATCTCATATTCCCATTATTCAAACAGTTTCAAAATTTTCTGTTTGCAGATGTTGTGTGTTGTTTCTCCTGAAAGGAATGGAGATTCAGCCAAGAGTCTTCACAGTTCTGGGCAGTACACTGAGGGAAACACTCATTGAAGAAAATGGAATCAACACACTGAGTACTACTAAACATAAAAGAACAGCAAACAAAATACAAACAGTAAACAAGTAAAAAAACCCTGCTAAAATATTTCTATATGCCTAGTTTTAACATCTTCCACCTTTCAGAACTGACTCCCATTTGGATTTAAGACAGACACTTTTTGACCCCTCCAATGTATAACCCAAAGGGTTATTATGCTTTTTCCCCAGGAGAAAAAAAAGTCCCACTTTGCATCAAAAGAAAAGGGTGGCACAGTGCAAGTGGAGATAAAAACAGGAGAAGGAATACATTGCAACATTATTTACAATTTTCTTTTTAGTATGAAGTGGAAAACAAAAATAATAAAATATTTACATATCAATAAACGCATGTGTTTCTACAAGAAACAGCCAATCCATCTGGAATAGATATATACACAACTTTCTTCTCCTAAAGAAAAATCATTAGGGGTGGGTGTTGTGGAAAGGTCTTTGCTTATGCTACAAGTCAGCTTGGCTGAAGCTGTTAACTGTAGCAAGGAGAGAAATGCGAACCCTTTTCATTATTATGGTAGAATGTTTCTTCCGGCCCACTTCTTGCTACATGTTCCAGGACAGAAAAAGAGGCAGGAAAGAAAAGGATAGGGAGATTGCAGTATGAAGAACAAAATCAATCTGGTTTCAGGATCTCTGTTTATGGTCTGAAGTACTTGAAAGAATAAATGAAATGGTGATTCTACTGGAAGAGGTATCCTTAAAGCAGGGGGTTTTCATGACAACAAATATAGGACCTGCTCACATGAAGCACAATACATTTAAGAAAATGTGGGCTCCTATGCATGAGTGGGCCCTGCCTTTTCCAGTTTACCACACAATCCATGATCAACTCCCTTGTAGGTTGGGACGTGTGATGCCGAAACGATCCGCTGGATTGTTTAGTCCCTAAACAGCCCAGCAGTCTGGGTTTGCATGTCATGCTGCACAACCTATGAATGAGCTGATAGTGGGGGTTGTGTGGTAAAGCAGAAGCAACAGGCATGTTACGGGTTGCGTGGTGGCTCATGCAGGACAACCTGTCAGTTTTGGTGTTCAGATGGACTGCCCTCACAGGCAAACTAGCTCACACTCTAATTCTGCAGGGCAGCAAACCCAGCGCATCCAAAGCATGTTTCAGCGGGTCCTTCAGAGACAGATCAATGTCCTCTGGGAAAAAGGTACTTAGTCCAGAATCACTTCCTCTCTCTCACACCTCTCCGCTTTGGAAATCAGGTGGGAGGACAAAATGATCAACTACTCCTACATTTCAAGAGTTGGGCAGCTTTTTGCTCTGATTGCTACCAGCATCCAAGAATTATGCTTTGAAATATTTCACAAGAAATCCTGGTTAAAAATTGCCTTTCTCAAGGTTTTGCTAATTAATGATTGTGCTGGAAAGCCATAAACTGAAGCAGATATTTAAAAAGACCGCCCCCCCCCCCCCTCCGGCCCCAGAGCTAGATGCTCTCTGAGCTGAGAAGTGAAGCCAGTTGGTCTTATAAAATTAGCAACTGATCCATGGGTTCCCCAAATCTGATGAAGGATGGGCATTTACCTTCAGAGTAAAGGGTCATAATCTACACGTTTTGTTAACTGATTTTCCCATAGAAAAGTTAGGGTTGGAAAGAAGAAAGAGAAGTTTCTCATTGATTAGAATCAGAAGAAAGGGAAGTGCTTTCTCATTGGCTAGGAACGTTAAGTTATCTGGATGGGTCTTAAGGTAACTGAGAATTTTCCCAGCATGTCTCCATGGAGTTCCGGGTGGGGAAAACAAAATAAATACGAATGCCATGGTTATGTCTCAGTTCAGAGTGCCCCGGCAATTCTCTGTCCCACAAAGGCAGGGAATCTTGTTCTCCTCAATCGGGAACTTGTAGTCATATGTGATCTCTTCATTGATGCTGATGGGCTGCTTGGAGTAGATGACTATCTTCTTCTGGGATTCTATGGTGATGACTTTGGCATAGCAATTGGGCTGAGGAAGGGAAAGATGAACAACAGATGTGAGCTGGCTCTGAAGGCAATGGGACAGCTCTATGCCAATGCCAGCACCACTGCCTCAACACAGAAGGGACCTGTTGAGCTACGATACTTCTCCGGAGGCTAGCGGCACCATCCCCAGCTTGAGGTTTAAGCTTCTGGTGGATGTGGAAGGCAAAGGAACACCAGAATCGTCATGTGGGAAGCAAGCAGGTGCAGGTAACACAGGAGTAGGTGGCAAGAGAGGTGTGTTTCTTCAGCAGGCATCCTGCGAAGCCTCTCCCCCTCCCTCTGCACTATCCCCCACCCCACCTTTCTGTACCATTCCTTGTGGGGCTGGATCCACAATCCTAGTTTGTTTTTGAATTGGAGATATCCTGGCTTATCTTGACTCATGGATGCTGATACAGTAAACTATAAACACCCTGAGACACGGACTGAAATGTTTAGGTCTTTGTGCTCACTGGCAATGCCATCTGACTTAACAGTGCTTACTGAGAGCAGCAGAGGAATGAAGACTGGGGCAGAAGTAACAAGGATGCCTCTCTCTACCACTCTCGCACAACTCACCGTGCAGCAATGGTTGATGAAGCGGGCCAGGTTGCCACATTTGGTGGCATCGATGATTGTGTCATGGTCCACACGGAAAAGATAGCTGCTCCCAATGCCCTCTTGGGCATACCGCTTCTCACGCATGTCAGCTACCACCTGTGAGAGAGAATGAACCTGTCAGGGTTTTCAGGCATGGAAAGATCTGCACCTACAGAACCTGGACACAAGCCGATTCTCCTCCTGGAGCCCTCCTTGCAAGTGTCTGCTTGCTGCCGAAGGCAGTCGCACAGCAACCCTGACCTAGTGACCAACAGGGACCCCGGCAATGAACAGGTAGTCTGACGTCTCCTCCTCAACCTGTTTTTGCCTGGGCTAATGCTCTTAGCAATTGGACGGCACTGGGGCGAAGGTAGCGTAAAGACAAAGAAACAGAGGAAAGCAGTAAAACAGAATTTAGCTGAGAGATAAGAGCTTCAGGAACACCCAGAAGGTGGCAATCTAGTACAGCTGAACTACCTCAGAGGTAGGCAAGGAAGAAAGTGGAAGGAGGCCCCTCCTCCATGAGGGAAAATGCTTCAGGTCTAAGTTGCACATCCCTGCCTACTGGAGCAAGTGGGAAGGGCAACCCATCCTAGGATATCATCTTCCTCTGACAGAAAAATGTACCAGACTGATTATTAGTGAGGCTGAGTATGTCAGGCAGTGGGAGCAGGCTAACAGCTGTTTCAAGGGCTAAAATGTAATTTGACAGCCATCACTCCAGTGGTTCCCGAGAGTACGTTAATTGCTTGGGATGAAAATGCAGTGGTATCTCCAAGAGCTACACATTTACTCACTTATCTTGGAATTTACTAAGTTCATTTTCAAGGACACAAACAGGCCCTCCCAAGGCAGCAAGGAAAAGTCAGTCTTTCTCCAGGAAGTCTTCACAGCACCCCCTAGTGCCCACTGGTTGCATATACCTCTGAAAGGTGGCTTCAGTAAACAAGATAACCATACCTCCAATTATTCTTCAACTGCAGCCACCACAACTTATGCACATTTCCCCCAAAATCTCACTGTGTTGCATGTTTTTAGAAGAGGCAGTACAGCAGCAAATAAAGGGCACAGCAGCTTGGCTTTCAGCCATAACACCAAGAGGTGTGTGGACACACACACACACACACACAGAGTGAAGATGACTTGCTACCCTGTAACTAGAGCAGTACAGCCCTTAGAAAACAACCAAGGTCAGAATGCTTCTAAAGGATGCTTCCTCTTTTCCTTTTTTAAAAAAAGACTAATTTTTGGTGCCTATTGATATATTGGGAAATTATATCTTAATTGAAGGTGATTTTTAAACAAAATGTCTAAACTTCACCCCACCACTGCTCACCTGCCGGATGTTCTGACCCACATATTCAATGACCATCTCATCAGCAGCAATTGGCTCCATGGCAAAGAGGCCCCACTCGTGAATTCGACTCCGGCCAAATCGTAGCTTCTTCTTCCGAAACTGCAGAGAAAGAAGTGGTAAGTAGAGGAATTATCATTACTGAATTTGTTTAAAATAAGAGATATAGTGCATTAAAGTGATTACTGAGCTGTCTGGAAGACAAGAATGATGCCTAATTTACATTTATGTCCATATGTTTGGATTCCTGACAGTTTCATTGCATTCTATAAAAACCCAGGAGTAGTAGTTCTAAAGATCTTACAGAAGTATTAAAAACAAACAAACAAACAAACAAACAGAAGTGACAATTTGCCTGTTGACTTTCCAGTGGGGAAACAACCTTTGCCAGCAAAACTGATGAACATAATTTTGGGCCCTTCCAGGTTAGAGTGTTTGCTTAAGGTATACATTCACAGAGAAGCAGTGGATAGACTGTCACCGCTGAAGAAATAAGGTCTTTATTGTTCAAGTGATCCCATTCTTTTTCCTTCATGGCCCTAGATACTCAGAGACCCCACAGTGTTTCATGTAACCAGTTCTTTTCAATTTGTTTCCAGTAGCAGAGTACCCAATTTTGAAAATGCTCGAGAGCTGCAGAGAAAAGATCTTGAACCAACCAAATAATACAGCTTTGCTCTCTAAATTTAATCGGAAAATACTGTTGGCTCCCCCCACCCTCACAACTCATATTTTTGTGAACTATATAAAAAGCCTTAAAATGTTTTGTCTGGAAGACTGACCATCCTTGCCTCCTGATGCAGCAAGTTCCTTAACCACAGGAATCATGAGTGACTCTGTGGGGAAACACACAGCAGCTCCCACACCTCAGCAAAATTTTAAGTAGCCTGCACATTTGAAATGAGTGCTCATTACCCTGTTATTTCTAAGGGATGCTGTAAGATCATATATCTAATCCTTTCTGCTACAGGCTAAATCTCCTTCTGCATGCTTAATAAGACAGTGCCTGATACCTTAAGCTGGTTAAGTTTTAGAAGATCACTATCGAGAATGGCAGAAGATCCAATGGCGCTCAGCAAACGTCTTTGTTCTGATCGCCGTTCTGACAAAATGCGATTGGTGCCCTGGGGAGGAAACGGGAGCTTGTTAAAATTAATACATGAAAAGGAAAGATACAGCCCTTACAGGAGGTTCTACGTTCTCATTCACACATTTATCTAATTCCAGGGAGCCAAAACATATCCATGTAGACAGCATCCCTACGTGGCAATAAGGATGACATCTGAATTTCTTATGCCTGTAAAACAATGTCAAAATCATAATGGCCAGAATGTCCTTTTAAACAGAGGGACTCTTTTCTGACTGGGGTGTTTCATTACCAGTATGCAAAAGTGTCCATAGCATCACCCATGAAAGCGCTTCAATGCAGGAGCCGCCTTCCACTGAGCCAGACCCTGTGTCGGTGCAGCCCAGCACTGAGTGGGATCTGCTCTCTGCAGAACCACTTCAAGCAGGAGTTATTCCTAAGCCTACGTGGAGATGCTGGGGGTGGAACCTGGCCCATCTGCATGCAAAACATATGCTCCGCTGAGGGATAGCCCTTCCCTTTCTAAGAACCGCATGGGAACCTTCTCTTAGGGCCAGGGGTCACTGCTCCTGCTCCCTCCTCAGCAGCACTCTGCACTTAGTTTTGTCACACGCACAGTGCAGTTGACAGACGTACCTATGTTGTGTGCTGCGCGTTGCCCAGACAGCGTTGGCTGTTGGGCAATTCAGAAATAAAATTAATGGCAAAAAAGTAGGCAAAGTAAAATGCCTGGATTAGGAGAGCATGTAAGAGCCCCCAGTTAGCCTGATCAAGGGTTGAATGTTCATGAAGGCTATGAAATGCGCCAAGTATGTGCCACAGCAAATCATGGCTAATCAACCTACATTTGGCCACCATTACATACATGTGAACAGCCCTGTAACCTACTATGTATTATGGACCGTTGCTGACAGGGGACGAAAGATGGGAGAGGAACCACAAGGGCTGCTGATTTTCCAATTATTGGGCAAAATGTGTTTCTAGCCTTTTCACAGTTGAAGGAAAAAGGATAGCACCCTGAATTTAACCTTCTGGATTTGTGTATATGCTTAAATTCTGCAGGGGTGTAGGGGTTTGTGTTTTCTACTCCCCAAGAGTCCCAGCTTTTCTTTGTATAAAGTTTCTAGCCCTTGCGGTTGCAAGAATATGCCTAAGAACTTGTGGCAAGTCAAGACTTCAGTGCCCTGTCTTAACACTTTGCTTGCCATGAATTATGCTTTGATGTTAACAATGGATAATTCCAACAAATTAAGAAAAACCATAGAGAAAAACCACTCAATTTGCATAATGCGTAACATTTACAGAATTCAGTTTCTCTTATCACAAATCAGGATTCCCTCAGTGCAAAATGTAGGGTACTTCCAGTCCTTTCCTCTTTTCAAAATATGCACCTGCTACATCATTCATTCCCCTATAATAGCCCTTATTGTTCATTCTCAGGCTGCTGCTACAGTGCCAAACGGCTGTGAGGAGGCACTCGGGGATAGGTGGGGGGAACGAAGCTGGACAAGGCATTTCTTCAAGACAGAACAGACCTGCGTATCGACAGCATCCAGCTGCTGCACAGTGGCTGGGCACACATCAAGGTACTTGTCCTTTTCCTTCTTGCTGATGTGATAATAGCCTTCACTGCGGGCACAACCTGTTTGATGCTCCCGCAGGTCAGACGACTTTCGCTTCCGCTTGGGGTTTGCAATGTTTGTGAGTAGAGGCAGGAGGAATTAAGGAGAAAAAAAATGGAAATGGGCAACAAGGGGAGAGAGAAACCAAAGAGACAGCACCAAGCGCCAGCTTTCTAACTGCCTCCCGTGTTTGGCCCAAGCAAGCAATTTCCACACTTGTGAGGGCTCAAGGGGAGTGGAGGGAAAGCTTCCATATATACTTCCCTACAGAAAGTTTCTGCCTCCTGGAGAGAAATAACTGAGAAATGAAGAGACAGAATAGCCTTTCCATTACCCATCTTATTACACCTGCTGCAAAATTTAACCAGGCATCTTTCAAGCAAGGCAGACTTACAAAAACAAAAATGAAATCTGTAGACCTTACATGCTATTCAATGTATTGTGACTTTAGCTTTTCGGATTTTTAAAAAATGCCTACTTATTTTCCTCCTTTTGTTCACATTATCCTAAATTTTGGGGAAAGAGCGCAATGAGAAGGATGAACATGATAGTAATCCTGTGATTTGCCAGGAACTGTGGAATAGGACAATTTTTGGAAAACAGTCTAATAATATCCCATCATCAACTGAAAAAAGCCAGAGCAGCTGCCATAAAGAAGGGCCACACCTCTCCACCTGTGCAGCAACCTTGCTGCTTCAATAGCTGTGCCTGGCCTGCAGAACAAGGGCCACCAAGTGGCAGCCTACAGCCCCAACAAGCCAGCATAACATAGTTTAGTTGTAGCACAGGAAATATGGTACACTCATGCTATGGACTTAAATTGGTTTAACAAATCACTCCTTCTTCCTAGAGAATTGCAGTTCTTTCAGGGGAGAAGATTAGAAATCTCAAATCAGAGAATTCTCAGCAGGCCTCACCAAACTACAATTCCCAGAAGCCTTTGAGAGCACCCATGATGCTCAAAATAGTACCAAAGCTATAGTGCAGATACATTCCAACTCCCCCCCACCGCATCTCCCCCAGACACAACCTATCGACTGCCTTTAGCTCCACAGAAGGATATTGGTGTGGTGGACCCAGTGAGTGTCATTCAGCCAGTCTGTGCTGTTGTCCTCATGTAGCAGGCGCTCGTAAGTTAGCCGCAAGTACTTCATGTCCTCCAAGTCTAGCCCCGAGTTCCAGATGTCATACAAGATTGTCATCTGCTCAAACTCACTGCGCGTCTCAAAGACCGGGGGTGGAGGGGGTGGCTGGCTCGGGATGTGCTTGTGCGAGTGGGAGCGCAAGGATCTCCTGCGAATCTCCCCTTCATCGCTGCTGTCAGCGCTCTCTTCCTCATCCTCGTCCTCGTCCTCCTCCTCCTCGCTCTCCGAAGGAAACAGATCCTCAGGCCCAAAGGGTAACAGTCCTGGGTCCTTTATCGCCTCCTCCTTGAGCCAGTGGGGGTGCTTTTTGGCCGGCTGCTGCTCTGGGACCACAGCCTTGGGTTTCTCAGCAGGCAGAGGAAGCGGAGGGGGCAGTGCCACAAGGTCGCCCACGTCGGGCTCCGCCTTGACCTCGCTGGCATCTGCCACCACCTCCTCGGGAGCCTCCAGCACCTCGCCAATGTGCTCACTGTACAAGTCCACCCGCAGCAGGTCAGCGGAGCTGGGCAGCACCGCCTCGTCTGGCTTGCGGGGAGCGGTCACCGGCGCCGCGCGGACGGCCATGGCGTAGTTATGCTCCATCAGGATGCTGCTGTCCCCGAGGGCCAGCGCGGGAGGGGCGGGCAGGGCCTTGGGCTCCTCAGCCTCGTCTGAAGTCTCAGTCTCCTCAGAATCTTCACTGCCTGCCCCAACAGGCATCTTGAGGGCCACATCCGCCAGCACGGCCAGGTCGGGTTGACTGGCCAGCTCCAGCAGAGAGGAGGCCCCCATGCGTTCACGGGTGCGCAGCGTGTCCTCTTCTGGGGGCGGGGGCGCCCGCGGGGGCTCTGAGCTGCGGGAGCGGGAGCGGCTCCGGGAGCGGCCAGGCACCAGCAGCTCATCTGACCAACACTTCACCAGGGACGCGTGGTCCGCCGGCAGGTTGCTGATTGTTCTTTGGCTGGCTTTGGCAGGCTCCCGCCTGCGGCTAGCAGCACTCACTGGCTTGACAGGGGACACGGTGGGAGGCAGCGGACAGGCCGCTGGGGTCGGGGCATCGGGGGCTAAGGACACTTGGGATGGTAGCAGGGGTTCCACAGGCGCTACTGGAGGTTGTGCTTCCTCTGTGGGGGGCGGGGGAGGGGGAGGCGGTGGGGGAGGCAGGAGCGCCGAAGGTGCCAATTCCAGTGGCTTCTCCAAGGCCCCCTTCATCTCTTCATCCTCACCACGGGCTGAGAAGGAAACAGTTTTCCGGCGTTTTTTGGGAGGCGGTAGCAGTGGGATGGGTGAGGAAGGACGCCCTTCAGGCCTGGGTCGTTCTTCTGGCACTTTTCCCACATCCTTCTCTGCTGGTGCTTGTACAGTATCCATCTGAGGGGCAGGCTTCCCCTCTATCCCATGGCCTACATGAGGGAATGAACGGCATGTTAGCGTGTACAGTATTGAAAACCTGAGGTCAGCCAGCAATGCGGCATTTTTCTAACTGTTGGCAAGCAGCGAACAAAATACTTCTGGTTCCCCTTACCAATTGCTTATCCAGGCAATTGTAAGCAATTCTGCATTTACTTCTTTTCTCTTTTCTCTTCAGTCCTTTTCCAGCCCCATGGCCCAACAACTTCTCCAGCAACTAACTGAGGCTTCCAGGGCTGCCCAGCCTCCCACTCTCACTGCAGCTGACTGAACCTCTTTCCCACAAATCTCTGAATAATCCAGACAAGGAAAGTTTAACAATGTTGATGCAATTCTGTTTATAAATTTCTACAGCAAATTATTGCCAGTGGCTTAAGAAAGTTTGTGACAAAATTAAAACTACCTTCCTGAAAGCTGCAGAAACAAATGAAATCTGGTCTTTAAAAATAATTAAGAACATCAATGGGGCAATAAAATGGTCTATTGAACAGGGCAATAAAACAGTCTGAGACACTACTGCAAACCAATAAAACAAGGATGGTGAACCACCTCCAGTCCCAAGGGCTCAATTCCACTTTGGAGATGTTCTTGGGGCCACATTCTAGTCCCAGGCAGTGCCAAACACAACAGCGGGTGGAGACAAAAGCACCACTTTATTTTAATGCAAGCTCTTATTGCTAATAACTAAGCCTTAAGGACAGTTACCTCAACCTTTGAGAATGGTGAGCAGAGAACTGCACAAAAACAGGAACCCACCAAACGATTTATTGTGAGAAAAGGGGGTGGAGTCAGAGAAGGGATCTGTCTAGAAACTACAAAAAGGCTGAACTTGGTCCTTGTGTCCAAGGTTCTGTGCCCGTTAATTAAAGTCATGGGAAAGCATGATAGACTTTGCTTAGCATGTAAATAAGTAAGTAAAGACAACACAAGGTGCACCAGTGAGGAAGCTCACAGTCTCAGTGCCACCACTGACAAGGGCCTGCCTTCATTTGTTACTTGGCTGAATGCCATGTCCTTTTATTTGGTTTGCTCCCAATGGGTTCAATATACCTGTCACATTATCTGCAGAAAGGGAAATTTGGGATGAGCCAAGATTTTGCAGGACTCTTCATTTGTACCTCAGTATGTTCAACTGTATACAAAATTTGTAGTCATGCAGTTTATGCCACCTTACATATGGCTACATTTTTTAACTTGTATGGGCACCATCAGCATTTGCACCATTGAAACACTAGGTGACAATGGTCATGGTCACTATTTTCCAAGCAGAGACGACCTGAAATGTTTAATTGAAATAATTAAACAGTTCGCATATGGGTTTAAACAGAATGGTCCAGCTAATGGCATGCTGAATTCAAGGAAAAGGTGGGAGGAATCAGTCTCACTCACAAGGAACTCAACAAAAGACTAGGAGTAGGAATACAGATGAGGTAGAGTTTTTTTAAAAAATAAGACAAGCTGCAAAAAGAAATCACTGATGTAAGGTGACAATGGATACTTTCCATGATCTTGTTTAACAGTAAAGATGGGGAACCTCTGGGTTGATTACAGCTCATGGTGACTTCCATCCAGCTCACCAATCATCTTCTCCAGGCCCTGCATACTCTCTTATTTCTGATCAGCTGATTATAAATAAGATTCTCCCTGCTACTCCCTTAATGCACTCTAAGCTTAGATTTTGCAGGGTGGAGTTTGGGCAGGGGCGTTGCTTGGGAGGCAAGGGATAGCCCTTCCTGAATGACACACAGTAGTAATTTTCATGGTGGCAGGTGGGAATCAGGCTTCAGTTCCCTATTCCTGCTTTACAAGAACAATGCACACAGGCATCCATTCTCTTTAGGAAAATTTAGTAAAAAAAAAAAATTACTTCATTCAAATAGAATCCTCTCACTTGCCCGCCTCTTACCCATGACAGCGTATTTGTGATTTTGGTTCATCGGCATTCATCACTGATATTCTAACTGAGGTAGTGAGAAAATATTAAAAATTGAAGTTCTGAGATAATTTCTTTTCCTTTTGACTTTAGCCATGTATTATTAGATTACTAAACTACAATTTATTCGATTATTAATAAACTTCAATTTCTTTGAATAACTGTTCCTAATAGACAATGGTCATTGTTACTATCCATCTAGGTCCATCTAGGAAAGTGGCACTTTACAAAGGACATTAGGTTCCTTGTCCCGAAGGTGCCACTGCCTAAGAACTGACAGACTGGAGGCAGGGGGTAGAGGGAATGGAGATGAGAATATGTGAGTACTTTAGCTAGAAAAAACTTTAGCTTAGTTACAACAGAGGACTAGAGGATTCTTCCAAAGACTCCACAGAAAAGGCGTATGTTTCATGAAGTGTTAAGGAAGGGAGGTCACTGAGGATTCTGAAGTCAAAGATTTCAAACAAGCTGAAGAAGCTTGCATGGGATCTGGGAAGTGACAAGAAGTCAAGCAAGAGATCAAAAGGTGCACTTCACCACATCAGAGCAACAAGAAGCAACAATGAGCTTTTATCAGCAGAACAGGGAAGCAGGCTGATTCTGTAACCAACCACACACCTCAAAATCTGCTTTGAAGGTTTAGGGGAACTTGGAACAGATCTGAGGATGGGCAGAATGCAAGTGGCCCTCTTGCATTCTGCTTGGAGTGCTGGATAGATAAGTGCACACCAAGAGGAGATGAGAATAAAAAAGCAACAGTTATGGTAAACAATTAGCACACTGTGGATTAGTTTTGCTGAGGGTACATAAAAGACAGACCATGTTTTTATAATATTGTAAAGGGAGAAGTAACTTTGCAACAAACTGAATATGGAGTGCACAGAAAAGTCAAAGACAAAATCAAGGTGTTGTGCCTGATCAACAGGGTGTACTGCGACATTAGCAATGGATAATGAAAATGTATGAAGATAGGAAAGCTTAGGGAAGAAAGAGGGAGTTGGTTAATTTTGGATATACTGAATTTTAGACTGTGATACAGCTTCAAGCGATGCCTGGCTGAATGTGGGGGAGACACCTCTCGGTACAGAGATTGAGTGTAAATCAGTATACAAGCCGTGCTGGAAGTCATGGAATTTACCAAAGGGCAGTGTATGAATGCTTTAACTTTTCCTTCATTTCTGTAGCTGGCAAATGCAAACCTGGCAATCCACACCTTGGCCTCCACAATTCTGGAGGTGTGACAGATCCAGCTTTTCCCAGTATTTCCAGTCTCCCAACCCAGAAAAGCTGACAGAGCTCTTCCTGGGAATAAGCTAGAGCGCTGCATCTCACCTTGGCGCACAGCAGCTTCTGGTTTCTTCTTGACGTGTTCAGCGTCTGTTGTTTGTCTTGCTCTCTCTTCTGTGCCTCTCAGTGGCTCCACGGAGCAGCTGTCCATGGCAGATTCATCCGTTTCCTCCATGCTCTCAGCTTCCTCCTCGTCCTCCTCATCAGAGGATGAGGATGATGACAAAGAGGAGGAGGAAGAGGAAGAGGAGGAAGAGGAGGAGGAGGAGGAGGAAGAACTGCTCTCCGAATCAGAAGTACTGTCACTGTCCTCATCAGACTCTCCATACAGAGAATACTTGGAAGAAGCATCACTTGCACCTTCATCTGTACAAAGGATAAGCATGGAAACAAAGAGAGTCAAAAGAGGCCTCCTGGGCCATCTAGTCTGATCCCCAGCTGCAGCCAGCTCTGCTCATGTAGCTCTGCTCCGCTCACATCCTCAACATGTGGTTGTCCAATCTTTCCTTGAACACCCTCACTGATGGGGCCTCCACTGCCTCCCTTGGAAGCCTATTCCATCTCCTAGGGGTCCTAACCATCAGGAAGTGCTTCCTGATATGCAGTCTGAAGCCTGGTTCCTTGAACTCTGCCCTCTTGGAACACGTCCTGCTCTCCACTGCAGGAAAGAACAGGTCCTGGCTGTCCTCCACATGACATCTCCTCACATACCTATAAGTTGCTAGAAAATCCCCTCGGAGTCTCCTCTTCTCCAGGCTGAAAGGACTCAGTTCCCTCAACCTCTCCTCATGTCATCCCTCCCAACCTGGCTACCATTCTTGTGACCCTGTGATGGACTGATTCTGATTTAGCTATGTCTCTCCTATAATGGGGAGCCCAGAACTAGATGCAGTACTCCAGTTGCAGGCACACCAGATAGATGATGATGATGATGATGATGATGATGATGATTATTCTAACATTTCTATGCCGCCCCTTGCCGAAACCTCGGGGTGGCTTACAACATGATAAAATACATTGAAATACAATAGTACATAATAAATTACCATTAAATATAAAAATACAAAAAAATACATTGATTTACAAATACAAAATTAAAATTATCAGTATAAAATAAAAATATAGGAGGAGAAAGAGAAGGAAGAAGAAGTTGCCCCGGCCAGATCATATGTTTTAACAATTGAAATGATGTTTAAATAAAAAGGTCTTTACCTGGTGCCGAAAAACCAGTAACGACGGTGCCAGGCGGACCTCTTTGGGGAGTGAATTCCATAGGTTGGGCGCCACCGCAGAGAAAGCCCTCCTCCGGGTACTTACTCTCCTAATTTCTTTCATGGAGGGTTCCCGGAGAAGGGACTCTCCCGCAGATCTCAAAGGGCGGTCGGGCATATACGGACGTAAGCGCTCGTTCAGGTAGCCAGGACCCAAGCCGTTTAGGGCTTTGTAGGTCATAATCAACACCTTGAATTGGGCCCGGGCTTCAATGGGAAGCCAGTGAAGCTGATGGAGGACTGGAGTCATGTGAGCATAACGCCCCAAACGGTATCAGCATGTCCCTAGATCTGGAAGCCATGCTTCTGGCTACACATCCAAGAGTGGCATTTGCCTTAACTGCTGCATCGCAGTGCCAGCTCATGGCAAGATTCTTTCCACAACTGCTGCTCTCCAGCCACTTGTCTCCCACCCTGTGCCGGTGACACCTATTATTCTGTCCCAAGTGCAAGACCCTGCACTTATCCACACCAAACGCCATCCTGTTGCTCCCTGCCCACTTCCACAGCCTGTCCAGATACTTCTGGGTCTGGATCACCTGCTCCTCAAGTTGTGGCCACTGCCCCCACATTGGTATCATCCGCAATACCAAAGGAGCAGAAAAGATCATTGCTACAGCCGTGTGCATGACACGTTCCAGCAAGGAGCGCTGGACCAGAATCTAACTCCAGAGATTACACTGCGAGTCATCAAGGAAGATTATACCCCCAAAACATAGGGGGCAACATGTGTCATTAACTAAAATGATATGAGTTGGTATATTTATTTATTTATTTATTAAAACATTTCTATGCCGCCCCTTGCCGAAGCCTCGGGGCAGCTCACAACACAAAATAAAATAAAATAAAATAAAATAAAATACAAAAATAACAATATAAAATTAACAATGTAAAATAAATAACAATATAAAAGAAGTCACCCTGGCCAGATAAATAAGCAAATATTTTTAACAATTAAAATGCCGCTTAAATAAAAAGGTCTTCGCCTGGCGCTGAAAAACAAATAACGACAGCGCCAGGCGGACCTCTCTGGGGAGCGCATTCCATAGATTGGGCGCCACGGCAGAGAAAGCCCTCCTCTGAGTACCTACCCTCCTAATTCCTTTCACGGAGGGTTCCCGGAGAAGGGCCTCTCCTGCAGATCTCAAGGGCGGCCGGGCATATATGGATGTAAGCGCTCCTTCAGGTAACCAGGACCCACTTAATTACAAATCTATTACTAAGGGTAGCAGTAGGCGAGCCCCCATCAATGCTGCACAGCAAGTGCCAGCTACTGAACAAACAACTTCCCACTGCCAACTGGAGAATACCTTCAGATTCCGCATTCTTTGAACTGCGTCCCCTGGCACCTTTTTTGACTTCCTCCCTCCGCTGCTCTTCCTCTTCCTCCTGTGAAGACAGTTAAATAATGTTTCACCAGGGCTAAATCGTTCAACAAGCTCATTGCCAGGTAAAAGCTAGGCATGCTAAAAGTTGGCCTGAATTTATCAGTCTCAGACTGGTTGACAACAGGCAGCAGAACCAATGTGAAAAGGCATTTTAAGACCAGCGGAATGATTTGGCCTGCAACAGCAAAAACAGGAAAGGAATTCCCTTTTGGTGCTGCCTCAGCTGCTGAAAGGCAGCAGGAGCAGAGAATGTGTGGGAGCAGGGGGGTAGGAAAGCCCAGCAGCAATAGCAGCCAAAGAATCCAACACGGCAGTAATGCTTGGCACAGGCAGGCAACCAGCAATGGGACGTCAGGCCTGGTGCTCCCTGATGGACAAGGGGTAGGGATGCCACACTGGGAAGCACAGCAGGAGAGGTCTGTTTAAGATGCCCATAGGAAAGAAAAGATGAAAGCCTCACAGACACAAAAAATCATTTGGCCACAAGCAACAGGTTAAGAGGCATTCCACTGTAAGTATTTTACAGTGAAGAGTCAGTCCCCCGCTCTTTCATTCTTTCTATTGGATTTGTATTTGCATTGGTGGATATAAAGGGGCCATATAGAGAGATCCAATTATGCACAGTTTTGGCCCAGCTGCTAATGGTCTGAAGATTGGTTAAAACAGCTAAAAAGGGATGCTGTTCTCTCACCTTCTCAGAGGATGAGTCTTCAGATGCCTCCTCCCCTTCACTGTCCAGGCAGAATAGTTTCCGCCGTTTTCCTGGACCTTTGATCCGCTCATCTTCCCTCTTGGAGGCTTTGGTTATCTGTGAGGACTCCTTATCTGCACAGTGGGGTGGAAGGAGGGTAGAATGGATTTCATTTGACAATGAAAACACGAAACACTTCCTTGCTGACCAAGAAGTTTAGTAACTGCCCCTAATTCTAGAGGTAAAGCCGCTCACCCTCCTCATCCTCTTCAACAGGAGTAGAAGGTCGTGGCTGCTTCACATCACTGCCCTCTGAAATTTCAGATGGCTCTTTCCTTTTCACCTGCAACAAGAGAAGCAGTTGGTTCCCTCTGGCAGGAAGGGCGCAGGGAGTCAATAGTGAATAAGCATTCAAACCAGAGCCTATGTCTTGTCAGAGGAATGACCGCCCCCCTCCCATCTCCCACCCACAGCCTCCTCAACAATACAAGACTCCAGACTCTGCAGCTGGATTATAGCCCCAGCCAGTCTAAGTCATGTGACCCTCACCTTGAAGGACGGGAGACGGAGAACTCCTCGAAAGCCAGTCCCAAAGCCAAACCCTTCCAGGCCACCGGTGCCACCGCTCTTGGCCCAGTCAACCAAGGAAAGCAGAGCAGGGTCTTTCAGTTTGGTTTTGTCCTTCTCCTCTTCCTTGACTGGCTGCTTAACAGTACTCTGGAAAGGCTGCAAATAATGAGACCAGGGCATGAGCAACAGTGATGAGGGGAGAGGTGTTTCTGCTTTGGGGGAGAAGGGAGGTGGCCGCTGCAGCAAGACAAACCCTTTCAGAGCAGTACATTCAAACAGAATGAGTGGAGAATACTGGGGCCCACATGAGTGTTATTTCACAGTTACTGACAACTATTATGAAACACCATTTCTTCTGTCTTTGAATGGCCAGCATTATTTGATACTCACTTGCCTCAATCCTTCAGCTTCAACTCTCAACTCAAGTCCCCCTCAATCCACCTCATGCTAGTTCATGCTTGTGCTCAGCTCCTGCCTCCGGGCATTGCCATCCAGCACTCCAACTCCTCCCAACGGTTGCAGAGCTCACAGGGAGAGCTGCAGCCTACCTCCACTGCATGCATTACTAGTCAGTTACGCAAATCCGTGCATAATCCCAAGCCTAACCAAGCCTTTCATGTTAACGAGCAAAATAACCAACTGCTGCAAACTACCACAGGTCTCCTTGGTCTACTTGACTGGCCAACATGCCACCCAAGCCTAGCGGAAGTGTAAGGCATCCTGCCCCAAACTTCCTGGACTCCAGGTCTTCCCAGGACTAGGGCACACGACCCCTGCAACCACCCTTCCACTGATCACCTTGGCCTTCTCCTCCTTGCGCTCCCACCACTTGTCAAAGGTGCTGAATGCCACATTTTCCACCATCTTGCGGTTGAGGTCGCGCTGCATGATGCTCTTCATCTCTTGCATAAGTGTTTCTAGGACACTATCCACAACAGAGGCGTGGGGGTCTTTGGGGAGTGGTGGGGGTGTGGTCACTTCCTCCTGGTATCCCCATGGGGCTGCCCGGAAATCAAGGAGGCGCTGCGGAGGTGGCAGCGGGGGCTGTTCTGAGGAATGCTGCTGCGGCTGCTGCTGTTGCTGCTGCGGTTGCTGCTGCTGCTCGGAAGTCCCCACGACTGACGGCTGCTGCATGAACAGCTGGTCTCGCTGGAAGTGGCGGCTGCTCTGGTCCAGGAGGTAGCCATGGCCATAGAGGGGCCGGCCACAGAAAGAGGCTGCATCCCGGTGGTAGGAGAAGGGGTCCTCAAACTGGCCTTTGTTCTGACGCAACTGCTGCAGGCGGCTCAACATCTGGGTCTGCATTTGGAAAGACATGGGCATCCCACCCCACTGGTTGCCCAGCCGGTTCATCAGCTCCATGGAGTTGACAAAGTCATAGATGTGGGGAGCCCCTCGGCCTCCGCCCACCATGCTCGACCGTCCTCTGAAGTCTGACAGGCGGTGTGTGTGCCGTGGGCCAACCTGACCGTAGCTGGAGAGTGAGTGGGTCTTACCCGCCATGTGTGGGAGGGAGACCGACATAAGAGGCTGTATGGGGTAGGACGGGGGAGGTTCTGGTCGGTGGTGGGGAGTAAATGAGGAAACACCCAGGTTCATGTGGCCCAGAGCTGTTGGCATGACAGAGAAATGGGGTTCAGACAGCCCTGTCACAGGGGTTGGGGGTTCGACCTCTGCTTCATCTTCGGAGATTTCCATGTCTTCTCCCGATGACTGCTGAGATGCCTGATCAGAAAGAGGAAGGAGAGAGAAGGTAGCATCATGAGCCAACTGTCCACTTTTTGCAGTTTGAGTTATCTGAATGCCCAAATGTGGAACTAGCAACCCTCTCCAGCCACTCCCAACATACCAGCTCCTTCCCGCTTAACCGCTGCCTTGCCTGCTGAGTTATTCCCATCTTAAAATACAAAAGAACAGGCCTTTAAAATAACAAACCTGCCACAAATTAACATTTCACAATGCTAGAAGAGTCAGGACACCTGTGTCCTGGCCTTCAGAATTTACCATCCTTACATTCATAGCTCCAAGAGATCGCCCGATAAAATCCTGGCCCACATAACCATACTGAAAAACTTAAAATAGCTGAAAAGCAGCATCTGCCATGGGGACTGACATCCAAGTGATGGAGCAACTTTTATAATCAGGTTTGTTTCTTCCAACAGTCCATTTTTCTTCCCGTGACATCAAAGCGCACTCCACCCAACATTTACAAAGATTCAAAATTTGCCAAATCAACAAAGATGATCCATGAATTTTTGTGGTAAACATGCAAATTAAGCTCACATAATCAAAACATTCGCATCAGCAGATGCCAATTACAGAAAACGGAGAGTGCACGTGTGTGTGTTTGTGTGTGCGCGCGCTTCCTGTACACGTGCTACCTGCAACAAGATGTTGCTGTGCGGAATGTCCTGTTCAAGGCAGCCAGCAAGGCATTGCTCCAATATAATCCCTTTGTCCACTCTTGATTTCCAGGCTCCACACCCACCCGCAGAGACACCGAAGAGCATTCTTTGGGCACTGAGCATTCTCGGCCATTATTGAGCTGTTCGCCCGCCTTCGGTTCCCTCTCCCTTATAAAATGTTTGCCTTTTCAAGGGCTCCCTCAAGCTTTTTGATAGGACTAACCATACATGAGATGGAGCTACGTAAGGATCCAACACTAAGAGAAAGTGTTTGCTATTAGCATGCATGATGATCTCATTTTAGGCATACATTTAACAAACAAACAATCGGCAAATTCAAATTCATCTGATCTTACTCTATCTTGCCCATTGGCTTTGGGGGATTCTGCTCCAGATCCCATGTCCAATACTGGCACGACATCTTCAAAGCTGACTGGAAGGGGAGGTGGTGGAGTGCAGGGCCCATGTGGTTCCGTCCCCTTGGGCCCCCCCTTCTCTTCCTCTTCCTCTTCAGTGTCAGAATTGAGGAAAGAGAATTTTGACCTCTGCTCCTTCAACAGCATCTCAATACGGGAGTCCAAGCTGCTGTGCTGAGCAAAAGGGACACTCTCATTGGTTGTTTCTGGTGCAGGGGAGCCAGATCGGGCTGGTGAGGTCTGGGTCGCAGGAGACTGGGATTGGTCATCAACCCCTAGTGCCGATGTAACTGCTGGGCTGATGTTCTCTTTCGTTTCCTGAGCAAGAAATTCTGTGGGAGGCAGGGAATTTGCAGCAAAAGTCTCAGCTGTGGGGAGCAGCCGATAGTCCTGGTCCACAGTGTGGGGTTCAGGGGGAACAGAGAAGGGCTCTGGAGTGGCTGCGTAAGACGGGTAGAGCACACTGGGTGCTGGGAAATGCTCCGCACTCTGCTGAACAAAACTGTGACTGTTCTGGTACTGAGCACCATCTGAAGCTGTTGTCACAGATGAGGAAGAGGAGGAGGTGGCGGTGGCGGTGGCAGAAGCAGCGACAGAAGCAGCTGTGGAGGAAGGTGCCGTATCATCCCGCTGGGAGCGCTCCCGGTGTCGGGAATGGAAACTGGAGTCCTCTCTTTGATGGGAACGATGAGCTGAGGAGGAGAAGGAGGAAGGGCGCCCTTCTGAGGTGGATGAGAGACGCTGGTACCGACTACTGCTGGCTGTGGCAGCGCTGATGCTGCTGCTGCTGCCACCATCAAACTGCTGACTGTAGGGAGGGTAGTGATGGTCATTGCTGCGATAGTGAGAGGAGGAGGAGGAGGAGGTTGAGGACGATGAAGACGAAGAAGAATAATGCCGACGAGAGTAAGAGTCTGAAAAGCTGTTCTCATGCCGACGGGATTTGTATGATGTTGATTCTGGCTGGTAAGTAGAGTAGCCTGGAGTCCCTTGCCTTGAAGAAAACCAAAGAAGAAACAATTTCTTGAGTGCCCTTCTCTCTGGTCTTAACTAGCTGTGAAAGGCCGGCTCAAGGTGTATGGCAGGGATGCAGAACCTCTTTCACTGGGTTCCATCTCAGAAAAGTTTTTACAGAGTTTTCTACAGGGTTTTCAGTGGATGGGGCCGGGCAAAAGAAAGAAGAGCCGAAATCCAAAAAATACATGTACATCATAACTTACTTAATGCCAACAACAAAACCTTTGAAAAGGAATTGGGACAATTTTAAATGGGGGAAAACTGCACAAAAGCCAGGAAGCCACCAAACAATTGGTAGTCAGGGAAGGGGGTGGGAATGTTAGAGTGATATGGGGACCCCAGGAGGGGCAGATTTGGCACCCAGGTCTCAGGTTCTGCATACCTGTTTCATAGGGGGCAGTAGTAATCACCTACCTGCTAGAATAGGCAGAATCTTGGGAATATGGTGTTCCTCCCCGAGGGGTATATGGAGTTCCCTGGGATGACTGTGGTGTGTACTGGCCATAAGAAGAAGGTGTGTCCTGCCGACCGCTTGAATAGGGAGTGTCCTGAGAGCAAGGTGTACCATTGCCAGGTGTTGAAGGCATCACACTGCTAGAGTAGGAGGAATCGGTTGAGTGGCGTCTTCGGGAATCTGACTGTAAAAGGAATGCTGTGAGTAGCACTATCTCCATGAAGGAATTTCCCACATGCACTGACATTTACAACAAGCTGTACAATCAAATGGCTCCTAGCAAGCTGTGCAAAATGCAACTGTTTCTAAGGAAAATGCCAATCTGACATATGGAGAACAAAGGAGGAGGGTTGGGTCATTGCTCTGCTATGCTGGTAGACTAAGTGTACAAGTGCCTCACTGGAGCTGACCAGCTCAGGACATAAACCAGCAGGCGGAGGAAGCCCTGCAGGTGGGCAGTGAGTGTACTGCAGCAAAGGGATATGAGAGGTGTGCTGGTGGTCACAGGAATATGCGGACAGTGAAGGAGGATGGTTAATTTTCTTATCAGATGGGATGATCCAGTAATTAACAAAAAGGAAAACTGATTGGCTGGGCCTCTTATGCAAGCAGCCCAAAAAGTCAAACTACTCTGGATAATTCAAATAAAAGCTTTGCAGACTTACTGAATCTGCTGGGAATTTCTCATTCGGTGTTTTGCCCCCAGTGGGAACGGTCTGAGGTGTATAAGAACCATTCACAATCAGCTCATAATATTTCATTCGCTGCTGACCTGTGAGAAGAAAAATCCATAATTGGAAGCAGACACTACTTTAAACTGAGAAGTTAATACCAAACTAAAGGATGTCTGGAAGAGAGTTACCTTTGATGTCAAGCTGGGCATGAATGATGTTGCCCATGACTGTAGTATTGTGCAGATTCTTTACTGTTTCCTTCGCCCCTCTTGTGCTGGTAAAAAGCACCTTGGCAAGACCCAGGTGCTTGCGGTTCTTTGGATTGTACAGGATCTCAATCTCCTCAATGTCTCCATACTTTTTGCACATCTCAGCCAGGAAGGGTTCCTTGATGTTGTCATTGAGGCGGGCAAAGGTCACCTCCTTCAGAGGGATCTGGCCCACATAGAACTCATCCAGCTGCAGCAAAGACATGGAGCAAGGGGGACAAAATCAGTCACCAAAGGCCACATCCCACACCCCGGTAAGCAGGAAAAGTATCCAACGCAATTTAGCACACGCTAGCACGAACAGGTTCAGACATCGCAGAGCTACTGGGCAGAATGGCCAGCACTCTAGTCCATATTGCCAACCCTCTGTATGATATGCTTTTCCAACTCTGCTTCAGAAGGTTACCTGAAACAAACCTCATTCCTTTCTCTCTACCACATGAGGAATTTTGAAAACCAAAACTTTCATTTCTATATAAATACAGATTCATTAACACAAGTTATCTTAAATGTACTTGAGAGCCTCTAAGTTTCCATAACTTATTCTGAAGGCAGAATTCTGAATTCTTCTTGATGAATGTGTCCACTTACTTATTCAGCTTTTTACTGTCCAGTTACACACCAGCTGATATTTCACAACAATATATTCAAAGGGACACAGTGACTTTAACAAAGCAAGTAGATACCATTCAGTTTGTCTTTTCTTTTATCCCTGAATGTGGGTTTCCCCCTTTCTGCCCTCCCAGAACTCCCCTGCACAAGAATTTCTCCATTTAAGATCCAATGCCAGAGCCTTCCTCTCTAAAACATGATTATACTTTTCAGTTGCAAGGTCAAAGCCAACAGGACGTCCTTCTTAAACATAGAGTTCCTTTTGCTCCCACATGGTGGAAAGATCTTTGGAGATACAAGCAGACCCCAGAAGTATTTACAGTAGAACACTAGAACTCAGTCAATCTATTTATAGTGTGACATGACCACTTTAGGGTACCTAGTGAGCCTTCAAAAAAGGCAGTTGTGGCATTGATGCTGCATTGACAGACTTGGAGTCTCAAAATGTTAGGAATATAAAAATATATTCTTCCTTACCTTAAACTTTGGGACAGGAAGGGAAAGGTCTCTGTTTTTGGGCCATATCCTGTGTCTGGGATCCTGCACATCACGCAGAGGGACATGACCCGAATCCTTGATAAAGGAAGACTTCGTTAGACAATAATAACAGTTCAAAAATCCTTTATGGAGTTAAAAAAAATTATTGCTACTGTCCCCAGTAACTGGCCAGAGTGGTGCAGGTGGGAGCTAAGCAAAGAGCCACTACTTGAGTGCAGGAATACTGCAGCCAAACAAGTTACTCTAAGCATTCAAACACCATTTGAATAAACCAGCAAACAACAAGAGCTCTAGATGTAGAAAGAAGTAATAATGTAAGCAAAATATTAGGGATGCCTCATCACAGCTACTGGCAACTCCTCTGTAATACTAAAATGTGTGCCACCTGCACTGGAGAAAGAAAATCCTCTCCTGTTCAAGGAACTGCATGTGCACCTGTGGCTCTCTCCTGCGAGGAACCAAGCTGCCCTTGAAACCAAGCACACAGTATAACAAATGGGCCAGTCTGTGGGTAGACCGTTCTGAGCACTCTGAGCTGTATTGGGTTGAGGCAGGCTATACAGCGGGATTTCGATGTGGGCACACAGAATTTAAATTCCACTCCTTGCAATACAGCCCTGGGTGAGTCACTCTTTGTTTCCATTATAGCGATGGGGAACTAACTCTGACCTAGCCTGCCTGTTAGGAGGGAGAAGACTAATATTGTAAAACACTTCTACATATTTACAATACTATATTACTTTTTGATAGCAGCACTTAAGACAAGCTCAGGAACAGGTATCATGGCAAACCTACCCATTTTCATTTCCAAGACATCCCACTTCCAACCCAATTCTGAACTACTTACATAGTGAATAGGAAAAAATGGCATGTATAGTTTTTAGACTATATACGCACATCAACAATACTTTTTTAAACATATACTATCCAAATTATTAATTAATCACAGTTTAAATCACACCATCATATTAAATCAGTTTAAATTTCCCGTTCATCTGCCCCAAGTTCTCCACAGCTTTGAAACTGTGTCATTGTCACCCATACTTGTTGCTTAGGGAAGTTCCCAGACAAAGCAACATCTAGGACAGAAAGGACCTTGTAGGCTACAAGAAAGGTTAAAATTGTCCTGTATTCTCAGGCATTTAATGGCATTATGATGAGTTATGCCTGAGGCCTGGTTTTTAAATGGAAATGGTTTAGATGTTAAACTGCTTTAGATTTGTGTATAGTGGAATTTTCAGCTGTTTTATATTTGCACACTGGAGTTATACATTGTGTTGACTGTATTTGTATTTTTATTGTATCTTTTGCATTTGATTAATTGCTGTGTACCACCCAGAGAGCTTCAGCTATTGGGTGGTACAGAAAATAAATAAATAAATACATACATACATAAGAATGCAAAACTATGCAATAGTGCCAAGAAAAGGGACTGTAACCAAAGAAAGGAAGATCTGTTCTTCTTTTGGCTTTCAAGAAGACCAGCACTGGTTACATTCTTGGTATCCCCTTAAGTGCTGAAAAGTGGAAAGTCTTGGATTTTGTACATTTTTGACTAGAGGGATATGATGCCAAACTATAACAAGCATCAGTAGTATAGGAAAGGTTAAGGAGAGAAAGGGTGTGAGAATCATCTCCTGCCTTGTCCAGATGAACTAGGACAACTAACGATCTTTTAAAATGAAGACTCAGGTAAGCAAAATCAGGCAAATACCTACAGCATAAATTTAAGGATGCAAATTCAACACAGCTAAATGGGATTTACTGACAGTGTGTTTGGAACTGCAGACACAGTATTTATGCATTAAAGATTTTGAAAATAGCATAGAAGGCTGAAGAGAGACATCATTCTTTGTCTTCTGAGTTCAAAGTGCTATTGTTGCTTACAGCAAAAATGATATTTGATGTTAAATTGAGAAGAATCTTGAAATAACCTCAATACTCTCACTGTAAATTGGACATAATGATCCACGATTGCTTTAATAACCTGATCTTACACACAATCCTGAAATATTCAGACACTGATTTCAGTAATCTTCCAAGAAATCTGAAGAGGGATTTGCCTCAAAGCACAAAAGAAAATAATGTTCATTTAAGCACCAGGGGAACCCGCCTCCCCCTCCCCCAGTAACTAACAAAGAATGGACATTTGCCTAAGGGTATCTTCATAAGCAGGTTAACACTGAAGAAAGCAAATTTTCAAGCATGGCAGGCAAACAACGAATCAAACAGTATGACGCTCAAAGTGCTCCACTGCCTGTTTTGTTTTCTAGGTGTATTTCGGAACTGAATCATCTCTCTTTGGAGAATTTGACAACAGCTCAAAATTAAGAACTGATGGGGAGTTTAAACCAAACAAGAAGAAACAAAGGTTAGCTGACGGTCATGGCCCAATTGTACCATCTAACCTGGTGCAGGTATAGGTGGTCTGCACTGAACATGACCATTTGGTCATGAGAGAGAGAGAGAGAGAGAGAGAGAGAGAGCCAGTCTGGTGTAATGGTTTAATAGGGTGGGACTGGGACTCAGGCAACCTGCTCAGCCGTGGAGCCAATTGGGCAGCTTCAGCCACAGGCTCTCAGTCCAATCTATCTCACAGAGTTGTTATTGTGGTGATAAGGCTGAGGGCAGCAGGAGAATGATGTAAGCCAAATAAGGGTTATAAATCAAATAAATAAATAAATGTGGACCAACACCCTATAAGATATAAAACAGCAGTAGGCAACTTGTAGCCCTTTAGGTGTTCTGGCCAACATCCATCAGGCCTAGCTAGTATGCCCAGTGTTGAGGGATACACGAGTCACAGCCCAAACAATCTGGAGGTCTACAAATTGCCTATCCTGTCCTGATACAAACACACAGACATGGCAACCAGTATTAGAGCCTTGAGCCCTAATATTATGCCAGAACATATTTAACCCTTTATCAAATGCACTGTCCATGTTCTACAATCGCTAATATGCAAACTAACGTGTAAGACTTAATAAGACCCACCTCAAAAGTATTCTTAAAGACTAAGACGCTATCATCTACAGATGCAGTTAAGAAAAGATTGTTCATGACTCCTACTGATTTCAGTGGGTTCTAAAGTCTGTCTGTTCCAAATGGGACTTAATTAACATTCTTAATTTCCTCTGGAATACACTTGGAACCTGCCCCCAGGAGCATTCCTGGCTTCTATCACCCAAAATTTCACCTGCTTCTCCCCATTTTGGGCAGTCTTCTACACTAGAGTGGGGTCCATGAGACAAATGATTCTTTCTTTTTGCTGTTCATTTTATACAACTCTGTTTTTCCGGTAACTATCAGCAGAAAAAGTCAACCTGCTGTATTTCTTACAGTATTTTGCCACATATTCAACATTAAAAAAACAGACTATACTTATTTATTCCAAATGCCTAACTGCCAACCTTAACTTTTCAAACACAAAAACATCAAACATTTTAGGCACTAGGCCCTACTTAGAGCTGTGAGAAATGTTCTAGTATCCAGTGTCTAAAGCAGCAATGCACAAAGACACAGAAATCCTGATGTATTTGGGAATGGGAAGCCTGCTACATGAAACAGCTACATAACGTACAGCTGACTCATTCTGGGATCTAAGTAACACTGTTTTGGATTTTGCTGTCCTCGGAGAGAAAACCAAGGGGTTATTACTACCAAAACTCCAGGCAATAGAACCAACAGCTGAGAACTCGGATGGTTTATGAATAAGCAGCACTTAGAAAGACCTTTGGATACAACAGCTGGAAAGATGAGGGGAACCATCCTGCTGTTCCCAGCAGGAATCAACCAAATCCCACCCCACACACTCCACTCTGTACAATTAAGAAGTCAGTTTTCCACACTTACATTGGTGCTGAAATGCACTCCGTCATAGCGGTAGATCTTGTGCGGGGCACGCGTTAGCACTGGATCAACAATGAGTTTGTAGTTTCTCCACTGGACGTTAGGGGTTTTCTGGAAGTCACCCCCACCTTCCTGATCCATTCTGACTCATTTACACTAAAGGGGTGGAAGTGGAACCAGAAAAAGGATATATTAACCAAGCTGATTATGTCAAGAAGGAAGTATTTACAACAAGAAAGCAACAAGAGTACCAACTTTGCCATCTGGTGACATAACTGTATATGTCAAAGCCAGGATATGAGTTTGACTGAAGGGGCAGACAGAATTATTCTAACCAGCCATACCTCTTTCTCCAAAATCCACTGAATACCCCGGTGCTATTTATTATATTAGATGAGTCTCAGCAGCTTGTACCAAGGTATTCTAATGCCAAATATGGGTGGTTTTTAAAAAAAGAATCTGGTTACTTTTCAAGAGGGATCAATCAGATCAAAATAGGTCACCCTGGATCTGCGATTGTACATGCTGAGTGTTGCCCTAGGGCTGCAGGTGTGCTATAATTTTGCAGGATCACAGAAAATATTTACGTGCAAAATATGATACTATGTACAGGATTCAGCTTCCTAAGACTCTCAGGGTTTGCACTTTTGTTTCCAAAGAAAAACAAGTTACCAGCCTTTATGACTGTGAACAAATGCATGAAGCATGTGGGTAGTCCTTGGTGCAATCCTGGAAGCCAAAAAACTAACACAGTAAAATTTTCAATAGATGGTATATAACATTATGGCCTTTTTCTTTTCATGATAGGAAATGTAAAATAAGATACATCATGCACATTTGCTCTAGTTCCATAATTTATAGAGGATGCAGAATTTAGTTCATCTTGGAAGAAGATGATTTAAAATAATTGAATGTCTTGCTTTCTTGTTAAAATAAAGTTGCTGCCCTATACATTAATAGACTCAGAACTGTCTTGCTTAATTTAAATGCCCCATAACTTAAGTAACAGCCTGCTAAAGAAAATAATTACTTAAGCCAAATGCAATTTCGGGGAGCAAAGCAAACCCAGTGATTTTATTCACTGTCTTTACATTTAAGCAAAACTGCTCATTACATATGCACAAGCATACAGATCTCAAAACAAGAGCATATAGATCGCAAAACAAATAGTACCCAAGAAGAATGACAAGAAAGCACAAAGAACCTTGGTTATTGTTTGGATTAAAATGCAGTAAATAAATGAAGCAATATACAGGCATAAAATTGTACCTGCTGTAGATTATCTCCTGTGGTCAAGCTACTGGCAAAATCCAATGAAAAGACAAGGCAATTTCCCCCCCTTCTCCCCAATAAGTTCAGGAGTTTCTTCAATCCATAATGTGAAACACAATTCTTGAAACACTAGGAAGAAAGCAGAAAAAGTGAGCTTTTTTTAAAAAAATCACATAGTGCAAGAAAATAAACATACCAATGAACACATATTCAAATTATCAAACATTATCATGCCGCATCATCATTGTAGCACAGCAAGAACTATGTGGGAAGCTTTTGAACACAAAAGATACATGCATGATAGAACAAGGGATGCCAGGAATTAGGGATCCCAAATTCAATCCCCAATGGACATGCCTTTCTTGCTAATTATAAAGAAGCATTATTCATATTTACAAATTAAAAATTAATCAAGATTACATAACAAATTAATAATCCTAAAATTAAATGGCACAGATGTACAATACAAAATAATACTAAGATGGAGCCAGCTAGAGGAAAAAACATGCATTATGTTTCCAAAGAAAAAGGTACAAATTTCACAGTCTAATTCTTTTGCCATGATTCTATCCTTATTTCAAAAATCTTCAGTGCTCTAAAAAGGCATTCCTTATGGCAACAGATCGCACTCCTTAAAAGATTTACTGACAAAACATTGCCTTTTAGGGAATTATTTTCCTAGTCTACATTTAAATCTCCTATTCACTTCTTGCTCTCTTTACAAACATCCCAATAACTGTCATGTTGCCTTCCCTCTATGAATTTGCTAGATCCATTGTTTCTAACATTCTAGCATCTCCCCCAACCTAGCCTTTCAACCTTAACAATTTGTCATGGCCACACAACCATTTCTTACACCACTCCAACCATCACTAGTTTAATTACCCATGCTCTGAAAAGGGATCACTTTTCCTCTCTTACTTCAGTCCCTAATATATTCATAGCTCCTCCCATTCTCTTTGCTGGACTTCAGCTTTCACATTCAGAATCCTGTCTCTATGGGAAAGAAAAAATCTATGGTCACCCACCAAACCTGCTGAAAATCTCCCCTTATCTCATTCCCTCTGAAGTCCTGCCAGACCTCTGGTCCCTTGGCACCTCCCTCTCCATTTACTGTTTCTCATACATCTACTCTGCCTTCTGCCAATGGGCCCCACAAGGTGGCTCTGATTCCACCCCCCCCCCCCCAAGTCATCCCTCCTCCTGCAGTCTGCCTCACCTCATGACACCTCATCCCTCAGAACATCTCTCAGTGATATTTCAGACTCCCCCCTCCTTGGTCAGGTGCCCAGATATTTCCTCCTTACAATGGCCTCTCCCACTGCATTTCTGAAAACTCTTTGCTTCCAGGGGAGGGTGGGTAACTTCTGCCACCACCACTGCCACACTCCCCCCACCGAGAAGACACAGACCCATGCCCTGAGCGAGACTGCCTGCTCTTGGGGGCACGGAGGAGGTGCCTCCTTGCTGGCCGCCCCATCCAAAAGCCTCTCCCCCATGCCCACACCCCACTTCGTTAAGCCCTCTCCCCCCTCAGGGCGGCTTCTCACCCAGGCACCCCAGGGCACGCCATCCTGCCCTCGCACGCCCCACACTTCCTTTCTTTCCACGACACCCTCCCTCGGACCTCACCTCACCTCGCCCCCCATCATCTTCACTCGGCAGGCGCCTCCCCCTTTTCACAGCACCCCCGATGCCCCCGCCCCGCCCCTGCTGCACCCTGCTCCCCCGCGCGCGCCCTCGCTCGGCCTCCCCTCCACACACCCGTCATTCGCCGCCCGCGCGCTCCCGCCTCCTCTCGCCGCCCCCCCACACAGGGGCGCTCGCGCTCTCCTGCCCCCCCTCCCGCTCTTTCTCCTCCTCCGCTGCCGCCGCCTCCCGCTTGCGCGTCACCTGCTCCTACCCGCTCCTCCTCCCCCCTCCGCCTCCTCTCAGGGGGCGCACGCGCGGCCCCCTCCTCCTCTCCTCGCCCGGCCTCGCGCTGTCTCAGCGCCCCGCGCTCTGCCGCTTGTCTCGTCTCGCGACCTGTGAGGGGAGGACAAGGGGGAGAAAAAAAGAGGGAAGGGGAAAAGGGTGACAACCCCGCTGCCTCTGCTGCTGCCGCCGCCGCCGCCAGGGACCAGGGGGCGGGGCCAAAGCACTCAAGCAAGACTCTCGCGTCACATCTCGCGAGATTGCTTTCCCCGCCCTCTCCTCTCTATGGTGACGGTTTTACCGGTTCTCCTATTTCGTTTTTCTCATCCGCGTTTTCGACATGAGGGTGGGGGTGGGGGAGTGCGTGGAACGAGAGATCCACGCACTTATTTCTTCGCCGCAGAGACCGTCTGTCCTGCGTACGGTTTCATTTTAGGGACTTCCGTGTGGTTCCTCGGAATTTAAGATTTGCTTTCTTCTCAGTTTTATCTTTCTTACGGAACGCAGGCTTGTAGTGAATGATCGAACGCGAAACTGCAGCTGGATTCCAAAGATGGAAGGACCGGAGAAGAGCTAGTAGGAGATTACAACCTCGCACATTCTTGCCTCTTCTGAATTAAAAGGAGGCACGCTTAGGCAGGGTTTTTGGCACAGAAGTAGATAATGTGAGCCGGGAGTTAATTAAACCTATGGGGAGTTTTTAAAATGTTGATACCATAAAAATGCAACAAATACGAATCCGCGGAAGCCAAATCAAAGCTCTTTCTAACGGAATTTAAGGCGTAATGTTTTAAACACTTTCGCCACCGGGAGAAAATATCCTAAATTTAAATAAGCATTGAATTGGCTATTTTATAATTGTAGTGGGTAAGGACAGAAGTTCCAAGTATACACCGACATCTGGAACAGCCTCTATGCCAGGGGTGGCCAGACTTGCTCAACGGAACAGCCACATACGGTAAATGTCAGATGTTTGAGAGCCACAAGACATGGACAAATGTTTGTTTATTTATTATGTCCCAACAGACATCGCTGCAGTTAGAAGAGTAGGTACTGCTAGGAGAGGTCTTTTGAGTCTACCGTGGCAGTGAGTCATTGAAAATACGGCTGATAGGTTGTCAAGGCTGCATGCATTAGCTCTGACAGGTCTTGATTTGTAAGATCTCACGATGCTTTCTTTGACTTCACAAACTTCAGTACAGTGATTCAGAACAGTAGGTTGTGCTGAAAATTGAGATGAATTGCACACTGGTTTTCGTCAGCTCAGGATATTTTATTTCTGGAACTTGTGTCCAGAACTTAATTGTAGATTTGGATTTATGGATCATCTTTAGACACAGGTCCTCCTGTAATTCTGTTAGTTCCATTTCCAGCAGATGATTCTATAACGGAAGGTTCGATAATTGGACAACTATCACTGATCAGATCAACCATGAATGGATTTACAAGAAAGGTGAAGCAAGACTTCAGCTTCTGCAAGTCCTCAAACTTGTCTAGAAAATTATCAAATAGTTCTTGTAATTTATCTTGGTATTCTTCCAGTTTACGGTCTTTTATTTTAATATCAGGCAAACTATTTACTCTCCTTTTGAGATTGGGAAAGTAACTGAAGTTTCTTGACAACATGTCTCTTTGAAAAACGTATTTTATTCTGAAAACTGAAAATTGTCTGAGTAAGGTCAGAAACAATCTTCACTTTCACCTAGAGTGCCAAATTGAGAGTCTATAGATGACTCATTATATAAGTAAGGAACGTTCATCATTTTCCAGCTGAGAACAGAATCTTATCTTTTCTTCAAGAAAAGTAATAATAGACTCCAATAGATCCGCAAACTTAATACATTGCTGGTTGACAGCCATCTCACAATGCAATAGAAAGACAGATCACTGGGTCCATCTTCAAGCACCAGTTTTTCAGTAGCATTTTTGAACTGTTGGTGGGCCTTCCCATTTGAGAATTTGAAATTTACAGTTTCAAGAATAGGTTTCATAACATTTTCATACTTGAAGTATCTGGTTGCCAGGTGTTCACAATGAATAATGCAATGAACAGGGAGAAATTCTGGAAAACTGGGATCATTTTCATAAGTACAATTAATCCTGTGTTTTCCCCACCATTACAAGTGTGCCTTCTGACAACACTGACAAGTTTTTCCAGTGGAATATCAGCATTTGTTAAGGCACTGTCAAGCATATTTTTGTTTCTTTTAGGGGTGCACTAAACCCAACATCTCTTCTTTTCAATAACATCAGAGGAAACATAGCAAACAAATATCACCAATTGTGGGTGTTTTGTATGTCTGTAGATTCAGACATAAGCTGAATGCAAGGGAATTCTTTAAATCATTTTGCTTGCAGCATCAGCCGTAATCTGGGAAATATACCTCTCCGTACTGTGGCATGAAGCTGGTGTTTGTGTTATTCGTTTCTGAAGTCTTGTGTTCTTTGCATCCAACACTGCAACAACTTCAGTTACATTCTTCTTAACAAATTCTCCAGCAGAAAATAGGCATGAGCAATATTTCATGCTATAACAAAACTAGCTTCAGTCATTGTTTTGGCTTCCTTATTGAATGTTGTCAGCAGTGTCTGCTGGCTATTTAGTGATGTTTTAACAGTTAGCATGTTTTTCCATAATTCTGATTTAGATGGATAATCAAAAAAAAATGTGATTTGTTTCACAGCGGCATTAAAAGTTACTGGCTTTGTAATGACTGAGTGACATATTGCATATAAGACACAAAGGTTTGCCTCCCTTAAAGGTGAATGCAAACTCTTCTTCCAACTCCGGCTTAACCGTTTTGAGTTCATCTTCATATTTTTGCTTCTTACGACTGGATGATGCCACCCGCCCCCCCTTCACAAAATGCTCCTAAACAGATCGAAGCGCTTTGTAATGGTAATGCTGCCTCGGGCTGACTGGGCTGCTGTTTGAGGCTCAGAGCAGAAGCGAGACGATCGAGGCAGCTCTGATTGGTTATCACAGCAGGAGATTCACGTGTTTTTCCTCGGAGGGTTTTTGTGCTCGCCTCCCGGCTCGGTCGCTGGCTGAACCTTGATTGGTTGAGGCTCAGAGTTGAAGTCACTCGAAGTTCCGACCCGAATCTACTCAGTTCAAATCACAGCTACTGCTAGAAGGAAGGAAGGAAGGAAGGAAGGAAGACTGGCTCGGCATTCGATGTTGGCATTTTCGCCCTGCAGCGTAACTGTGAACTCATCCTGAGGTCCATAAGAGAAAACAAAAAAAAGATACAGTGCCTTAATTTATGGCAGCTTACTTATGCAAAGCACATCCCTGCCAGGATACTATGCTGAATCTGCTAGGGCCAAAATAAAGAATCCTAAGAAATTAGATAAGCTTTTCATGTCAGGAAAGTGTGTCCCTTAGCAGAATAAATCTTTTGGAATATCGGCTTTCAGTTAAGAGTTTTCTCTAACTCTCTGGCTCCTACAAATAAATTCTTATTTTTCTGTGTGTGTGAGGAATGTAGCAGGATGAAAAGATGCCTATTCTCTATGTATAGGGCGGGAGGAAGAACAGTGTAAAACTAGGAGTTCAGTCACCTCTAGCACTTTCTTCATCGATAGGGTGAAATAATATTAAATAAAAGCATTTCAAACATTCCGCATAAGCTTGGCACCACCTGTCTCCCTCATACCAATATTATCGTCTGGCAGCAAAACAACAAAGATCCTTGTGGTACCTTATGAAGACTTACCAGTGGGCATGTGCTTTCATGGACTACAACCCCCAATCAGATGAGATGCTCTGTACCTTGACCAAGGGCCTGATAAAAGAGCCAGTATGGTGTGGTGATTAAGAGAATGGGAATGAGACACAGGCAATCAGGGTTCTAGTCCCGACTCAGCCATGGAGCTTACTGGGTGGCTTTGGCCTAGTCACAGACATTCAGCCCAACCTAGATTGTTACGTATGAGGATAAGATTGAGGGCAGGTGGAGATTTTCGTAAGCCACCTTGAGTTCCTCAAACGAAAAAAATGGTGGGATATAAATATAATAAACCGAAACACACCAAGAAAAGCTCTTCATGCCCTCACATCTGCACACTTTGACAAGAGAAGCTGGCTCGATTGTATATCTACAATCTGTTTAGATATGGGTGGCACATAACAATTCCCAATGGCCAGAATTTGACCAGTTAGTGTATTTGTGGTTTGGAGCAAACTGGCTAATAATAATAGTGTTGCTGGCTTTATGAATAAAATATATGGTATG